AACAGGAACATAGGGTGGCATGCATGACCTTGACAAGAAAGAGTGCAATGAAAGATGAGGAAGTGTGACCAGACGTGAAGCTATAGAAAGTGTTATTTGTGTTTATGAGCATGCATGAGTACGAAGCTCTACTCGAATACGGGGTGACGGATTAGCTTCATTGCACCCATTCCACAGCCACCTCCATCTGGGTTGCACATACAAACTTATCTTAATATACGATCACTGAATGTAATCGTGTTCAAGACCTCCAGGCACATTTCTGGAACAGCTGGTACACGTGTCAGTGTGCATGGAGTTTTGTGTACTCACCACAAGATCTCTTTCCCCTCTGTGAATTTTGACAGATTCTGAAACTGAATTTTTCATCATAACAATAAGAAAAATAGAAAAAATATTTAAAAAGATGAGAAAAAAATTGAAATAAAAAAAGGTGGAAAATTAAACAGCAAAACGGAATCTAGATCATTATAAAAACAGTATAACAAAACAAGCATTTTGTCTAACACATGCAATAAAATATTTTGAAATTTTGATAACGAATGCATAAATTCAAAAAAGGAGAAAATTTGGTCTAATCCTGATGAAATTTAAACTCAATATATAAAACATTTCATGTGAAATTTTAGGAATAACACATTCCTTTCTACCATACAAGATTTTACATACTGCATATAGCATCAAGGTAAAGTAAAATATTAGAAATGGTGCATTTGCAGGAGGTTAAGCAAGATTCTTCCACAGCACAGAAAATCAGTCAGAAGAAATTTAATTTTTTACTTATTTAACAATAGTAATACATTTATATTTTATTCATATATAACACTACTTTATTACTAATCAATTTAAAGATTTTCATTATATGCATACTTAGCTTCATTTGTATGCCTACAATAACTGACTTTGGTAACATGTATAACATGCATAGCACTTGCTATGAAGTCTGCTCTCAGATCTATAAGTTTGGAATTTGAAATTGAATTTCAGTTGCTAAGAGCAATAAAAATAAATATTTAACAAATTCATTCAGAGAGAGCAGGAAAGAAGCCTTATAGTTAAAAAACAATCTACATCATCACTAATGCAGAATAACATACTGAAAATGAATAAAAATTCTATTACACTTTTTACTTTACTTTTCATAGAAAATTAATTAGTATGCAGGTTTTATCCTAGTATCCGGTGCACAAGGGATTTGGCTACTTTTGGCAAATTTATAAGTAGTAAACGGGACATACACGATAAGTAGTTAAACGGGTCATTTTGGTGGTGATAATTTTCAAAATTGTGCCAAAGCTGCACCGTATACTAGGATTTTACCAGTATGCATTTTATTGCAGAAATAATTAAACATTTATTTTCAAATAAGTTAAACTGCTAGTAGTGATTTTATCTCTTTAGAGCACGCCATTCATTATGAGCATGCCATTCATATCTTCCAGTTTCTTCCACTGTCCTGGAAGAAAGATGTTTCTTCCACTGTCCTGGAAGAAAGATGTTTCTTCCAAAAGAATGTCAAACTTATTATAAAATCAATTATTCACAGAAAAGGAATCAAACCAAGCTGGCGGTATCTGGAACCCCGAAAATATATCTGAACAACAACAAAAAAAAAAAAAAAGGGCCAAGTTGTATGGCTTTAAACCTATGATGGTTGGTGGAAAAGTAAAAAAAAAAAAAATACTGATCACTAACAATTTTAGCACACTCTTGAAGATTGTATAACAGAAAAGAAGCCATGAACTATACTTTTATTTCTTTAGAACTTCAGTAGCAAATCATAAAAGTACAATATAAGAATTTTAATAATGAATAAAAGAACTCATTAGTTTTTACACATATATTGCACAACAAAAACCTAAGTCACAGATTTCTTTTTTACATTTGCATTATTAAAACATACTTAGAAAACTGATTTTATATCACCTGCTTATGATACTCTCCAAATGTTTTAACGGAAAATTCTGCATAGAAGGCAGCATTCTATATTCATTATACATAAAAATTTCTGCTAGTTTTTAATGCATCTGATTTCGGTTTGAATGTATATTGGAAGAAAAGGAAGGTAAAATCCTAGTATACGGTGCAGCCTTGACGCGATTTTGAAAATTATCGTCAACACCAAAAATGACCCAAACAACGTCTATGTACTATACACTATATACATACCCAAACAACGTCTATGTATATACTATACACTATACACTAAAGTATATACTATGTATAACTATATATATTCTTTGAATGACCTGTTTACTACTCATCGTATATGTCCCATTTTTATTGCTCATCATAAAGTCGCCAAATCCTGTGTGCACCGGATACTAGGACTAAACCGAAAAGGAATCAAGGTACAAAATGAGAGAGTCATTTTTTAATTAAAATCAAGAAAATACCACTTTATTCATGACATTTTGAGGAACTTTGAAATTTCAGGGCTAAACCCTCAGGGTAAGCAGTTCCAGAAAAAGTTATACAATACTTTTTTAATAGAAAAATTCTTTTTTCTTATCCTTTATCCTTTTTTTGTATACAAATTTAAACATACTACTACTTATATTTTAGTTATAATGCACACTTTCCAGATCACGTTTTTAAACTTTCTATCCTACACAACACAAAACTAAATATTAACTACAGTGCAATAGAACTATATAGTATACTACAAGACATGTAATTGTATGTATGTTGATGCATACAAGAGTAAGTTTGCATGCATAATTATAAAAAGCAAGAAGCATAATATGCAAAAATAAAACTGAAAAGTACTTAAAATATAAGCTTTAAGTATTATACAGATTAAGAACAGAAAACAGCACACAAGAAACTGCACTCTAAATTATATAACAATACTTACACATCCACATTAATAGCTACATATAATGCAAGATATATAGCAAATACATAATTTATATAAACAAACTGGATAATTATCCAACTTTTTCTAAATTAAGTACTTTAGTTCTTTAATATATGTGTATAGGACAAAAATACAGTAAGTGAGGGATTTGTTTCACATTTGCATAATAGACACATGCTTAAAAATTATGTCAATTGCTCATAATTTTTTATAACTGTCAGGTAACTGACTATTAAAGTGGATCAGTTTTTTTCAGATTCACAGTAGATGTATCACTTGGCTTTTAATTTTTTTAATACTATACCTTTTTATACGTATACATAGCTATAAAAATATGAACTATATTCAAACTTTAGTTTTCCAGTTTTCATCTCTCATGTAAATGTCAAAATACAGGTTGAAGGAAAAGAACAAAAACATCAAAATTTAAAAATAAACTTAACTACTTGAATGCCTTAACTGTTTCAAGTACTAAAAATTTAAAGAATTTTTTTTAAGAACCAAGACCCTTTTCATCATTTTAATTGGGTGATGACATATTGACACTGTACGAAATTATTATAAAAATTAATTATTTTACTTTCTAATGAGTAAGCTATAGATCATAAAACTTACAAAAAAATTAATATGTAACTCTTAAATGATTAGTTTACAGTTGTATTCCTGACTATATATAAAATTAATATTAGATCTAACACTAATCAATTTTGAGGAGTTCTTTAAATTCACTAATTATACTCACAATAACTTTGAAGGGGGAAAAGAAAAGAATACTCAGCACTCTAAAGAATACTGGCTAGCATCCAATTCTAAAAAAGAGGTTACTAACCTCTTTCAGATTCAAAGGCCTTCTTTAAAATGGTTGCAGATATTGTGAGAAAGCCAATATCAGAATAAATACACAATTTAACATTCATTTACAATAATATTATTACACTGAAGAGATGTGCTGAAGATCAAAATGTATTTTTTTAAAGAACTATGCCTACTTTATTAATATTATAGTAAAAGTAAATATTTAACTATCTGAAATGAAATATGATCTTTAATTTACTCAGAATATTAAGAAATATATTAACAAAACAGAAAGCCTATTAATTAAAAAAAATTGCAAAAAATAAGAATCTCTTCAACAGTTTAACACAAGGCTCTTAATCAAGAATAAACCTGAGCAATTGAACTATAAGCAGTTCTTTTAAAGACTTTCCTCATCATTTTAACTTACTGCCAACTTTATGACACTATAAGAGAGCAATTTAAAAACAAATTATTCTACATTTAACTGCCAATAATTCTTATTGTGTTTATTGCTGGTAACATTAAGTTCTGATCTAAGCAACCTAATAGTTAATTTTTGAAAGTATAGCTCTCTTTCCTTTTGATCAGTTAGTTCACAACAAATAAGTTAGAAATGTAAAATTAATTTAAAAGAAAGATAATGTAGGTTAGTAATTACTAAATTTGCCCCCAAAGCCTGAAATTTAAAAGGCCAAAATAAAGACTACTGAAGAAATTATACAAAAACACTTAAACCAAATCAAATATTTCACATCCTATTTCAAATAATTACTTTAATTCACAAAATTATAAGTCTGTTTGTTATCAGATAGTTTACAACTATTGGTTCTGCTCATTATTATCACAATAATCACTTTCATTTCTAAAAATACAAACTGTTGCATTATACAGTGGAAAACAGCAAAAGCTGCAAAATATCAATCAAATTCTATTATTTTATTGTATTTATAGGAAAAATTTTAAACTATACCTGTCCTCCATTTATTTACTATTAGCTACCTGTAAATAAATGAGGTACACGTAGTTCCTGAAGTAAACAAATCTAAATTTGACGGTAGGCATGAGAAATGAAAGTGATCCAGTATTTGTATCATGCACTTAAAAACTTCAAAAACCCAGCTTCTAGCTCAGAGTTAAGAGAATGTTTTACAAACCTAAATACAAGCATGCTTATATATATGTTTTTTGAAGAAAACTTATACACTCTGGTTTATATTTCATCCTCCAGTTTTAGGACACTGCGATCTTTATTCAGATATAAGTCCTAATATATTTTTACAAAATTTCCAATATAGATTACTGAATTTTATTACAGCACTTTAAAGAAATAAACGCAATGTACCTTATATACATCACCATAAGTACCACTACCAATGCGCTGGATAAGATCATACTCATCTTGAGGGTTTCGTCTCGAAATTTCCAGTCCAGTAGCGGCTGCCATCTCATAGCATTAGCTAGTCTTTAGCATTATAAAATATAAATTTGAAAATTATTCATTACTGTCTCTTACTTTACTCTGACACATTCAAGCCATTATCAAGTATAGAAACTTTATCGCCCACCTAAACAATTTGTGAATTTATATTCTTCGTTAAAATGTTAAAATATTAAAAAAGATAAACAATCTCATCTTTGCATTTCTTCATTCTTGTGAAACATTTTTAAGAAACATTAACAGCGACTCCCAAAAGAGAAACACAACGATATACAGAACACCCTTCCCTAAATCACAACACTTGATTTTTAACAATGTTTTCCAACATGCATCAATACAGAAACTAGCGCCCCTACTGCTACATAAACAAACCTTCCACAGCACAGCCTGGCACACCACAGAAGTATGGTTAACAACCAACTCTGATTTTCATTGGTATTAACGCATTAAAAGGATAATAAATTCAAAAATTAAATCTGAATGACAAGATTTTAAAAAAGGGTCTATTTCATATGTTAAGTCTCTAACTGTAATTTTTTAAAGCTAGAATTTCTTTAATTCTAAGAAATTTGAAAATGACACATATTTCAAAGTTCGTCTGAAAAATAATATTGGTTAATTCAGTGACTTTTAAATTTAGGCGAAATTCAACATCGGATGGGTGCATTCCTATCTGACGTTACCGCAAGATATATACTGGGCGTTTCCCAGTTCATCTCTCTCGCCAAAATGTTTAAAACACAATTTATAAAATGTGCCCGACAACTGCAGTCATGTAACTACGAAACAAACTTAAAAGGATTTTTTAAAAAGTAATCTAGCTTCTTCGTGTGGTACAAACACCGGAGTACCTGGTCTGTGGTGACATGACTCCCTCTAGTAAATAGTTACTTAAGAACTTACGGCGAAGTAACAGAGGTGCTTCTAAATGGTGAGGAATAATCACTAAAATGGTAAAGGCTCTAAGCATAAAAATACCGCGGTCACATAGCACTTCGCTTACAAAAGAAACGTGTAAGACGAACTATCGAACTGGTGAACATATAAACAAAAATAAAATTAAACATATAAAGACAGTGCGAGTCTAAAGGGCATCATAACAAATTTTAAAATAATACAAAATCATAAACGGATTCAAACTGCAAAACAAAAAGTCTAAATACCAAATACACACCACTTTCTTCATTGTGGCTTTTGGCCTCTCAGAAGTTTTAATAGCGAATAATCTAATATTGATAATATTTCTGCTTTCCTCAAGTCCAGATTTAGATTTATCAGCACGAGCAATTATCATTTAGTTTCGTGGCTCCTCGCCACATGGTACAGAGCTGTTTTTGCTATAGTCAATAATTTTTCAGAATATTTTTTACGTATATTTATTGGATTTGGGGGGCACTTAGAAAACCTGGCGGCATATTCGCCACCACAATTGCAGCATTTCGATCCATTTTACATGACAATCAGAACTTTCGTGTGCGAGAGCACATTTTACTCACCTCGGAGCAAGTTTACACTCGTCCGAGGAATGATGGAAATATTAGCAGTTGTGGCACTAGCCCCCCCCCGGCCATTGAATTTGTAAGGCTCGACAGAGACCTTGAAGAAAGATAGACTCTCCATATCGTAGGTCTTTTCCACATATGGGTTCATTTGCGAGCTGGTTTTGGAACATAGGAATGGGAACAAATGTTTTGAATTTTATCATCTGTGCTACCTTGAGCACGTTCTATCCATCTCTAATTAATCATCCTTTATTTCGTCCCAAGTACAATCAGCTGGAATACCCCTAATCACAACTCTAATGGGTCTGACTTTTTTAGGATGTACGAGATAATATTGAAAATTGTTGTCAGATAAATACCTCGAGATAACTCTGTGATCATTCTCATCAACGGGAAAATTTGCAGAAAGTCCCCGGCTACTCTAGCCGTAGATACAAACTTAGTTTCCACAGATAATTTTTTTTTTCAAATTCGTTAAATTTCAAAGTAGTTATCACTATAACAGACTTCATCCTAGTAGCTGGAGCTTTTGTGCGAAGCGGCGCGTTACCTTGCACACTATCATTATTATCGACATTGATTTTAAAAAATACATCGAATTTGTTGCTGACATCAACATCCAAAAATTATTTATCATATAATTTATTAATTTATTATAGATATTACAGATTATTATATATCATTTTTATGACATTAGAATTGTAAGATCTATCTCTAGTTATCCACATACACTAACTTAGATCCTACAATGAACCTGGCGAATTCTCGCACAGGCGTGAATTAAATACCAGCACAGAAGAAGGGTGCAAAATAACCCTTTATTAACTCAAACTAAAATAACAGAAAGCACGGACTTCGTGCGTTACAAACACCGTTCACTTGCGGCGATAACTAAACGCAGACTAGAATACAAATCAAAAATCTAAAAAAATAAACGAGTGCAAGAACGCACTTCAAAATTACTCCTAAGAGATAGGCTCACAGAAATCTAACCGGCGTGATACTATACAGATATGGCCAAGAAGCTTACTAGCGTGATCGCGGAATAACAACGAAACGTGCCCTAGGCTAGCGAAACTGAGATAATCACCCGTTTAAATAGCATTTCACTTAACTTTAAATTTACATCCTGGCGAGAGAATGTGTGGTGAAGTTTGAGAAGTTGAGAACAGGAAAACTTAATAAATTTGTTATGCAAATTAAGAAAACCCTACAGAATATTTGATATTTTTAACCTTTACATCAATGGGAGCCTTGCTACAACTAGGTAGAGATGCATCACTATTAAACTTATCCTTATTAAACTTATCACTTAGTAAACTTAATTTAGGCACATTTTACAAATAACTTTATCAGCACTAAGAGCATTAGAATGTTTTAATTTATTATTATTAATTTAGTATTTATTAATATTAAAATTCAAATTAAAGCATAAGAATTTACAAAATATATTTAGAATTAACTAAGAACAAAAAGTTTGAACTTACTATGGGAAGAACAAAGGAACAGAAGGCAATAATTCAAAAGGAAAGAGCAAAGCTAATGGATTGCCTGTTAGACACTATTATCGACATAAACTAGCGATAGAAAGTTAGAAATCTCCCAAAAGGTGAATTTATAGTAAGATTTTTTTTTTAATTTTAAATTTGTAAAGCATTTAAGTAATGCAAGTAAGAAAAGGAAAAAAAAGGATGTTACATGTTAGGAAAGAATAAAATTTTCACACCATGGACTTATCATCACGATTTAGAATAGAAGAGGCCCTCAGTTAATAAAAGTATCTGGGTGTAACGAAAGTTTTTCGCCAAAAAACGTTCTTAATAAAGGTCCAGGGAAAAACATGAAAGCAGTGCTTTTAGCGCGGGTTGTAATCACCAACAAATCTATGATTTTTTGACAATGTTTTGGTGGCTTTTCAAAGCCTTCAGACCAAAAACTTAGTGGCGGCGAGTCCAAAAACAGATCAAACCCGTTTCAGATGTCCTGTGCAGAATGGGTAACATCAGGGATGGCCTAAGAACGATGCGTAGTGCCGGGAGAAAATTATGCCGCGTGCGCATGACGTCATGTGAGCGACAGTCATTAGTTCTTGGCGTTTGTTTAAATTCCTTGCATCAACAGTTTCATTTGATTTGTGTTGTGGATTTGCTATTATATCTGGTCAGAAATGGCAAATTACACTGTAGCATTAGAATTTAGAAGAAATACTAGAAGTCAGGGTATCACAGACCATCGTTTTCCAAGTGATCCAGAACTTCGTAAATTGTGGATTGTTCGCTGCAAAAAAGCAGATAATTTCAACATCGAAAATTCAAGAATATGTGCTCTCTATTTTACACCTGATGTACGGGATCTAAAGGCAGAATTGCTTGGTTCAACTTCTAAAAGGGTGCTGAAAGTCAATGCTGTTCCCACCTTACATCTTACATCCTCATCGCGTGAAAATAACCCACCAATATGTTATACTTCAAAAACTGAAGTTAATCTGAAGAGAACGATTTCTAACACGAATTATTCATCCAAATTTATGCTAAAAAGAGATAGAGCAAACAGGTGCCAGGCTCGCGAAAATAAGGAAACGAGCGTTGGAAAATTTAGCTTCCCCAAAAAAGAAAAGGCTATAAGCTGATAAAATAGACTGTGCAACTCAGTTTACACCCAGTGACACATCTGATTTAGTTGAAGTGACACATCAAGTGACACATTATCCAGTGACACATTTGAGTTAGTCGTTACAACCAAATAAAATATCTACTTATTTTTTTAATGAATTTATGTAGTTTTGATACATAATTGTGATCGAATGGACACATTAGTATATGTAATTGTACATTTATAGGTCATTTTACTATTATTTTACATTTAAATTAAAAATTTTTTTCATCTTAAGTGAATACAATTATTTCAAAACAAATTGAATATTCATTTGCCCCACGGCTTGGTAGTTTATTAACGAGTTAACAAAACTTAAATTCTGCTTTTTGTGTCTAAGAATACAACAATATTTTAAATATTTATAAATAAAATATTAAATTGGAGTCTCACCAGTTACCTAGCATTTGAAGATTGTTAATACTAATTGTTTGTTGCGAAGTCTAACCCAGCTGCATGGTTGGTTTTCGTAGTTTTCTATGTTCTCTTTACAAAGGTTTTCTATGAAAGCATCTTAACCAAATAGCTCCCATGTTCTTTCTATGTTCAAATAACCAACTAACCTAGTGTAAGCGCGATGTAGCTTGCCAGTCGGGAGTAACATGAAAGATACGGCGCTAATAATTGAATTGCTGTTACGGTACGCTGCTTCTAAACTTATATGGTCATTTCTTAATTAAATATAATTGATTTGTAACTTCTACTAGAGTTGACGGTAAGAAATAAAGTGCAAATAAATAGTATCGTGTGCAATCTTGATTAATATAAAATTAGAAATATTTTCATTCAGACAGAAAGCTTTTTGAAATATTTGCAGTTACTTTATAAGAAGGATTTATTAATAACCGTAATAATTACTTATTATATTACTGATGACTAGAATTCAGTTCTTGACAATTACATTCTAAAATAGAATTTTAAGGATATAATGAAAATACGCTACGCATAAAAATACATTTTAGGATAAAAAATGAGTTGATTTTTTTATGTTTAAAAACCTCTTAAATTCTTTTAATAAACATCGTACCCTCGTTGTTAATTGACTCCAGAATTTGGATGTCGTTTATATAATTATTCTTACTTGTCCACAGAACCTGCTGACTTATCCAGCCATTAAGTAGCTGCAGATCATTTCTACATAACCATTGAACTTTCATTTATTCGTTCTCTAGAGGGTTTTATATTTATATCATAGTTTGACTTTTATAAAAATGATTATTCTAAATCTTATGTTTCTAGTAAAATATACTGTGCTTTAAAAATATGGATGATAGTATCATCCGCTCATTCAGTCACTTAATAAGCAACAGCATGTCTAGAAATAAATTATGCAGTTAATGTCATAAAATATTTTCGTAAAATTCAAATAAACATCAAACGAAATTTCTCAGTTTTAGACAATTCGATTTAAACGAAGTTAAATTAAATAGCAGACGATAAAAAACGCCGAAGATAAAAATTTATTCTTACAAAATATTTTTTAAAAAAAGGAAGAAAGAGAGAAATTAAAAAAAATTTAAAAATTTGAATAATATCATCTATAATTTAAAATATAGCTTTTCATATACTATTAATAAATATTTATTACGTATCATTGAGGGAAAAAATTTCGTATAATTAATTCTCCGTAAAATCTTACTTGAAATTTAAGGTTAAAAATAGCTGTGGCAATTCACTGCAACAAAAATCCATAAACCACATTTGGCGTTATTATCGCTCAGAAAAATATGCCAAATTTCAAAACGCGAAAATATGTAAATTCATGTATATCTTAGAAAATTTTGAATAAAAAAGTCTAATTTTTTGCAGGTATGCTTAGAAATACACCTACTTTAAGATGATGGTAAAAATTTTATAGGTTATAATTCAAAATATTTTTTCGAAAAATTTATAAAAATTATTTAAAAATAGAAATTTAAAAAATAGAACACAAAAAATAGGTAAATATTATTTGGAATGAACCTAAATTTCGAAATGTGAAAGGAAAAATCAAAAAAATTTAATAAAAAAAAAAGATATTAATAAATATTTGCCAAATTCAATTAACATTGAGGAGCTAAAATTTTGAGAGCTAATATTTTAAAAACTACTCGTACGATTTTTACAAAACTTGGTATTCTGGCACAATTTGAGTCGTAGAATCGAAATATGGAAAAAAATTGGTATGCTATTTCAGAAAAAGTCCGATTTTGTGTCAAAATACCTATGTTAGAATAGTGCTATATATAAAATCTAATATATATCCTAAGTCGCGCTTTCGAGACATGAAGACCGCAATTTGAATTTCGTGAATCGCCCCAGTAGAACGGGAGATATAGCACTGTTCCATTTTTTTTTCTTTTGAGCAGTGTACATGCTAGCAGGCATAACGCTGGTAAATATGCCTGGTGGCATACGGCTTGTAAATAAATGTAAAGTAATATATCTTGGTGTAATAGGTCAAGGAACACGCATCAACAGCCTACCTTCTGATCATTTGGATACGTACAGTGTGCGTTCCGTAGTACGCATAGATGTTTTATGCGCATCATAATTTAACATTGTATCTGTGTATTGTGTATTTTATTTAGATCAAATGTCATTTTTATTGCATTTCCTGAAGGTGATTAAATGTTGTAATAATTCCAGTTATTATGAAACATGTGTAGTGTGTAGAATGTAATTCTTGTGGGCATAATGGCTTAATATTATATTTACGAGGAATGTACTATACTTAGTTGAATGTCTTATTTAGCATACATTATAGAAGTAAATAGTTTTTATATATGTATTTTTTATATATTTTTTTTATATATTTGCTTTTTATAGCAGCAACATCTGCTGAATTAAATGGGAGATCTACCTGCAAGTACAGTGATTCCAAGTAGAACCATTTCAAAGGTTGGTGTTGATTATGGCGGACCATTTGCTGTGAAATTGAAAAGGGGGGAGAGGTATAAGGCCAGTTAAATGTTATGTCTGTATTTTCGTTTGTTTAGCTACGAAAGCTATCTATTTAGAGATAGTTAGCGACTTATCAAGTGAAGCATTCCTAGCTGCTCTAAAACGATTTGTTTCGAGGAGAGGAAAAACCTCAGGAAATAAGAACTAATTTATCTTAAGGACTCAAATAAAAATCCTTAAGGAAGCAGTTTCTTCCGTCCAGTAAAACTCAGAAGTTCAAAGGTGGTTGGCAAATGAAAACATAAGGTGGATATTCAATCCGCCAGATGCTCCACATCATGGGGGGTATATGGGAGGCAGCTGTTAGATCCATGAAGCTGCATCTAAAGAAATGTGTTGGAACTCAAATTTGTTGAAATGAAGATGTTCCAAGGGTTTTGGAAGCGGTGGTCTAAAGAGTACCTGGGCCAACTACAGCGGCGCAGCAAATGGAGACAGCCTAGCAGAAATATTCGTCTAAATGACTTAATTCTCATTAAAGAAGATAATAGGCCTTCACTACGGTGGAAACTCGGACGAGTAATAGAAGTGTTTCCTGGAAGAGACAATAATGCCCTAGTGGTAAGACTAAAAACTGCACGGGGATATTAAACGTCGTGTTACCAAACTGTGTCCTTTACCAGTTAAATGAAAAGGAACATTAACTTAAGTGTTTGGTTCATATTGAATATGTTTTATTATTATTTTTTTATATTTCTTATTACACTAATAATTTTATTTGTTTTAGTTTAACCTTACAGTTAATTGTTCAATAGTAAGCTATTGAAGATGTTTTTACTGTTTAGATGTTTTGCTAGAAGATTGGTAAGTGTAATATGTAATATGTAATATTCTACTTTTGAAGATTTTTGTATGTTTTCAGTTTCTATATTTTTCATTTACTTGTTTGCATATATTGAATATTGTATTGAGATGAATGTAATTCATCGGGGGGGGGGAAGGATGTTTTAGCCTCCTTGGTGATTACGGTGATTTGTAACCAGAGGGCGCACCGCACAAAAAGTTAGTTGCGTTATAGAACGTAAGGGGAGCGGACACGCCAAAAAATGTCGGGCGTATTACTGCTAATTGATATAATTGCGTCGTATCTGCCAGGTTGCAGAAAACTAGTATGATGTATCAATTTACATGCCAGGTGGCAGAATATGTGTATCATGTACATGCCAGGAGGCATAACGCTGGTAAATATGCCTGGTGGCATACGGCTTGTAAATAAATGTAGAGTAAAATATCTTGGTGTAATAGGCCAAGGAACACGCATCAACAGCCTACCTTCGGATCATTTGGATACGTAACAGTGTGCGTTCCGTATTACGCATAGAGGTTTTTATGCGCATCATAATTTAACATTGTATCTATGTATTGTGTATTTTACTTAGATCAAATGTCACTTTTATTGCATTTTATGAAGGTGATTAAATGTTGTAATAATTGCAATTATTATGCAACATGTGTAGTGTGTAGAATGTAATTCTTGTGGGCATAATAGCTTAATATTATATTTATGAGTAATGTACTCTACTTAGTTGAATGTCTTATTTAGCATACTTTATAGAAGTAAATGCTTTATATATATATATGCAGCGAGTAGTGCGTCCGCTGAGTAGTATGCATATAGTTTCTAACTTGCATCATAATTTCGTATTGTATCTATGCATTGTGCATTTTGCTTATTTTGCGTCATATTTTGTGTACTTTACTTGTTATAAGTGTAGAGTCATTAGGTTATATCGACGCAGGAATATGAAGAATGTGCTATGACCTCACCGAGATTCGAACTCCGGGCATCCCGAATACGCGTCGAGCGTGTTTGAACCACGAAGGCATGCGGAAAGAAAAGAGAAGGTACCGTATTAAGTGTTTTAAGAACTGCAAGTATTAGGTAGCATGCGCATTGTGTAACTGCATTTCTCATGCATATAATTTAATACTGTATTTGTGTATTGTGCGTTCTAATTCGTTCAATGGCCTGTTTAACTTGCTTTACATCGGTAATTATGTACTTTATATTTGTATGCATATTGCAGTCCGTAC